CTTCAGGGGTCTTATCAATGATGATGCTGAATGTAAAATAAATGCTTTATTTTATTTATTTATTTTACATTCAACATCATCACTTGATAAGATACTGAAGGGAAACAAAATGGTTATTTTTGTAGTGATTTTATTATATATTTATGTTATCATTTTAAATAAATAATATATATATATATATATATATATATATATATAAAGTCGGCTTTGAAACATAATTTTGTAAGTGATCTTAAACTTTTTTGTATATATATATATATATATATATATATATATATATATATATATATATATACACACACACAGTCACACACACACACATATATATATATATATATATATATATATATATATATATATATATATATATATATATGTATATAAGATAGAGATTATAGTTGTTCCAACGAGAGAAAAGTGTATATTTTTAAGATATTGCAAATTATAAAGAGTAGAGAAAAGCCACAAACGTTTTTGCTGCTAATGTGGATTTTTTAAATATATATTATTATTTATTTTTCATATAAGAAAAGAAAGAGGGAAAGAGACATAGAGGAAGATACTTGAGAAAAATTAAGATATAAAGAAAACAAAATAATAAATTATTCAATAGAAAAAAAAAGAAAAGGTCCATATATTCAGTTTAGAAAAACAGACAATGTTTATTCAATGAAACCGCCCTCAACTCTCGGCCTCGTAAACGACAACATGTCGGGATCAGGTGGTTCTCATTCATGCTTTCCGTCACGTTCACAATGCCAGCCCTTCTACGATTTCTTGGTATTGTCGCACCACCAGTTGATTTCCTCCTCGACAAAGACCCTGACGTAATAGTCCAAGAAATTCAAAATAAGGTGAGCGCGGAGGCCAAATCTTGTGGGGAGGCAATCCGTGAATAAAAATTCTTGGATCCTAGGTCATTTTAGTCAAAACATTGTGAAAAGGGGCGGAAACGCGAACCGAAGCACGTGCGGGGACCATCCCAATACAATGCTTGTCCGTCTTGATTGATACCTCATTTTAGGCGGTGGCATTGACCCTGAGGACTGGGGGAAGAAATGGCGTAGCACTATTTAGCTTTCATTGCACACGTCTCCCAGTACCGTTACAGACGATGCGAACATTGAGAGCATCACCGTAGTGTCTGCAGAGAATTACTTGCATTTCATCCTTTTAAGAAACTGACTATTTCTGATTGACCGGAGTTAGCAGCTAATCCCAACAAAACGACTTACCTTTTTATTTCCAGCGTTAGGTACTACCATTGAAATGTTTGAAAAAGAAATAAAAGTGTTTATTTGGCGTATGCCGAGCAACATTACGTTCGGGAAAATAAAAAAAAAATTTCAAAGATATAAATAGTATGAAAATGAAAGAAAAATTAAAAGTAAAGAAAAGTAAAAAAGAAAGAAAGAAAGAAAGAAAAAAGTAAGAGAAAAAGGAACATAAATAATAAAATAAAAAAGAAAGAAAGAAAAAAGTAAGAGAAAAAGGAACATAAATAATAAAATAAAAAAGAAAGAAAAAAGAAGTAAAGAGAGAAGAAAGTAATAAAAAGAAAAAGAAAAGGAGACTAAAATATCATAATTGGAACGAATTAAAAAAGAATCGGAAAGAAGAAGTAGAGGAAGAGGAGGAGGAGGAGCAACAACAATAACAGCAGCAACAACAACAACAACAGGTCGATTTAAAAAGAAAGTTGATTATTTTGGGAAGAAATGATTATGTCCAGCTGCTAAGAAATTTCAAATTTCAAATCAACAAATCCTCCATTGACAATTCACATTGCCACTGTTCTTCTCCTCCCACACCCTCTAACGTCTATTTTATTTATTTCCAAATCCAACTGACATGATCCTTAATCCGATACCCGGGCCTGTGTATGATATTCCAGCCTCTGCTATATTTACGGGACGTTTTCTTTGGCTGTCATTAACTTCTGTTAAGAAATGGAACGAAAGAAAAATAAAAAAAGAAAGAAAAACAATCGAATCGCGGCTTTAATTGAAAGACCAAATGCCTTTTCGGTCTGCGAAAAAATATTCAGTTTTTACTTTCGTAACCTGATTAATTATTTGTAGTAGAGAAAAGGAAATAATTTCCTAATTCATTGAGGGTCAACAAATACGACGACTGGGCAGATCATCAACCAGGCAACCGAGAGGTGTAGATCTATCGATAACAGAATCAACCAACTAAATGCCAAACAAAGCATTTGAATAACTGGGTAATATAGTAAGTGCGAGTTCAATCCGTGTGCCGAGCAGTGTGTACTTTGACTGAATGGAAAGCGAGCGAGAAATAACTGAACAGTACTCAAAGTAAGACGAGATTTCTTTAGACATGGCCAAGTGGAACGTGTCTACCGACGGAGATAAATAAAGAAAACGGGTGAAAAAAATACTGTGGAAAATGAAAATATCAGAAAGAAAGAAAAAAAGAAATGAAGCGAAAGAAAGAAAGAAAGAAAGAAATGAAGCGAAATGAAGAAAGAAAGAAAGAAATGAAGCGAAATGAAGAAAGAAAGAAAGAAATGAAGCGAAGCGAAATGAAGAAAGAAAGAAAGAAATTAAGCGAAATGAAGAAAGAAAGAAAGAAACGAAGGAAATGAAAAGGCAAAAAAGAAAGAAAGAAAAAATGAAGGAAAAGAAAGAAAAAATAAAAATAAGGACATGAAAATGTAGAAAGAAAAGAAAGAAATGAAGGAAAAAGAAAGAAAAGAAATGAAGGAAAGAAAGAAAGAAAGAAAGAAATGAAAGAAATAAATGAAGAAAAAAAAAAAAGAAATGAAGAAAAGAAAGAAAAAGAAAGTATGAAAAGAAAGAAAATGAAGAAAAATGAAAAAAAAAGAAAAGAAAGAAACGAAGGAAAAAAAAGAAAAAAGAAAGAAGAAAGAAAAGAAATTGAAGGAAAGAAAATGAAGAAAGGGAAAGAAATAAAGAAAAGGAAATGAAGAGGAAAGAAAGAAAAAAAGGAGGCAAGAAAAGTGTAAAAGAAAATGAAGGAAAAGGAAGAAAATGAAGAAAGAAGAGAAATAAAGAAACCAAGGACATGAAGAGGCATAAGGAAAGAAGGAAAAAGGCAAGAAAAGAGTGTAAAGAAAATGAAAGGAGGAGGAGGAAAATGAAGAAAGGGTAAGAGAAATAAAGAAATCCAAGGACATGAAGAGGCATAAGGAAAGAAGAAGGAAAAAGGAGGCAAGAAAAGTGTAAAGAAAAAATGAAGGAAGGAGGGAAAATGAAGAAAGGAAGAGAAATAAAGAAATCCAAGGACATGAAGAGGCATAAGGAAAGAAGGAAAAAGGAAAGAAAAGTGTAAAGAAAATGAAGGAAAGGAGGAAATGAAGAAAGGGTAAGAGAAATAAAGAAAAAGAAGGAAATGAAAGGAAAGGAAAGAAAAAAAGGGAAAGAAAAGTAAAGAAAATGAAGGAGGAGGAAAAAATGAAGAAAGGGAAAGAAAGAAAGAAAGAAAGGAAAGAAGAAAAGGAAAAGAAATGAAAAGGAAAAAGAAAGAGGTAAAGAAAACTGAAGAAGGAAGAAAATGAAGAAAGGGAAGAGAAATAAAGAAATCAAGGACATGAAAGGCATAAGGAAAAGAAAAAAAGGAGGCAAGAAAAGAAAGAAAAAAGGAATAGGAGGAAAATGAAGAAAGGGAAGAGAAATAAAGAAAAAGAAGGAAGAAAGAGTAAAGAAAAAAAGGAAAGGAGGAAAATGAAGAGGGGAAAAGAAAGAAAGAAGGACATGAATGCATAAGGAAAGAAAAAAGGAGGAAGGAAAGGAAAAATGAAGGAAAGGAAATGAAGAAAGGTAAGAGAAATAAAGAAAGAAAGGACATGAAGAGGCATAAGAAAGAAAGAAGGAAAAGGAAGGAAAGAAAGAAAAGAAAACTGAAGGAATAGGAGGGAAAATGAAGAAAGGGGAAGAGAAAAAAGAAAAGAAAGGAAATGAAGAGGCATAAGGAAGTTAAAAGGAAAAGGAGGAAAGAAAGAAAAAAGAAAACTGAAGGAAAGGAGGGAAATGAAGAAAGGAAAAAATAAAGAAACGAAGGACATGAAGAAAAGAAAGAAAGAAAAAAGGCAAGAAAAGAAATGAAGGAAGGGAGGAAAATGAAGAAAGAAAGAAAAGAAAGAAAGGACATGAAAAGAAAGTTAGAAAAAAAAAGAAAGAAAGAAAAGAAAATGAAGGAAAGGAGGAAAATGAAGAAAAGAAGAGAAAGAAAGAAATCCAAGGACATGAAGAATAAGGAAAGTTAGAAGAAAAAAGGCAAGAAAGAAAGAAAGAAATGAAGGAAGGAGGGAAATGAAGAAAGGGAAGAGAAAGAAAAGAAAGAAAGGACATGAAGAGAAAGAAAAAAGAAGGAAAAAGGAGGAAAGAAAGAGTGTAAAAGAAAAATGAAGGAAAGGAGGAAAATGAAGAAAGGGGGAAAGAAAAAAAGAATCCAAGGACATGAAGAGGCAAAGGAAAGAAAGAAGGGAAAAGAGGAGGAAAAGAAAGAAAGAAAGAAAGGAAAGGAAAGCAAAGGAAAATGAAGAAGGGTAAGAGAAAAAAAGAAATAAAAGGAAATGAAGAGGCATAAGAAAAGAAAGAAGGGAAGGGAAAAGGAGGCAAGAAAGAAAGAAAAGAAAGAAAAGGAAAGGAGGGAAATGAAGAAAGAAGAGAAATAAAGAAATGAAGGAATGAAGAGGTAAAAGAAGGAAAGTTAGAAGGGAAAAGAAAGAAAGAAAGAAAAGAAAAGTGTGAAAGAAAAATGAAGGAAAGGAGGGAAATGAAGAAAGGGAAAGAAGAAATAAAGAAATCCAAGGACATGAAGAGGCATAAGGAAAGTTAGAAGGAAAAAGGAAGAAAGAGTAAAAGAAAAGAAGGAAAGAGGGAAAATGAAGAAAGGGGAAAGAAAAAGAAAAAAGGAAGAAAGGCATAAGAAAGAAGGGAAAAGGAAAGAAAAGTAAAGAAAATGAAAGAAAATGAAGAAGAGAAAGAAAGAAGGACATGAAAGAAAGAAAGTTAGAAGGGAAAAAAAGAAAAGAAAAAAATGAAGGAAGGAGGAAAATGAAGAAAGGGAAGAGAAATAAAGAAATCCAAGGACATGAAGAGGCATAAAAAGAAAGGGAAAGAAGGAAAAAAAGGAAAGAAAGAAAGAAAGAAAAAACTGAAGGGAAAGGAAAGGAAAATGAAGAAAGGGAAGAGAAATAAAGAAACCAAGGACATGAAGAGGAAAGGAAAGTTAGAAGGGAAAAGGAGGAAAGAAAAGAAAGAAAACTGAAGGAATAGGAAGGAAAATGAAGAAAGGGGAAGAGAAAGAAAGAAACATGAAGGACATGAAGAGGAAAAAAAGAAAGAAAGAAGGAAAGGAAAAAGAAAGAAAGAAAGAAAACTGAAGGAATGAAGGAGGGAAAGGAAATGAAGAAAGGAAAGAGAAATAAAGAAACCAAGGAAATGAAGAAGAAGAGAAAAAGCAAGGAATGAAGAAGGAAAAAAGGAAAGAAAAGAGTGTAAAGAAAACTGAAGGAAAAGGAGGGAAATGAAGAAAGGGGAAGAGAAAGAAAGAAATCCAAGGACATGAAAGCAAAGGAAAGAAAGAAAAGAAAGGAAAGAAAGAAAGAAAAAAGGAAAAAAAGAAAATGAACGATGAAAGGAAAGAAGGAAAGGAAAATGAAAAGAAAGGGGGAAGAGAAAGAAAGAAAGAAGGAAAGGAAGAAAGAAATGAAGGAAAGGAAAAAAATGAAGAAAGGGAAGAGAAAGAAAAGGAGGCAAGAAAGAAGGGAAAAAGAAAACTGAAGAAAATGAGGAGGAGGAAAATGAAGAAAGAAAGAGAAATAAAAAGAAATCCAAGGACATGAAGAGGAAAGAAAAAGAAGGGAAAAGGAGGAAAAGAAAGAAAGAAAACTGAAGGAATAGGGAGGAAAATGAAGAAAGGGTAAGAGAAATAAAGAAATCCAAGGACATGAAGAGGCAAAGGAAGTTAGAAGGGAAAAAGGAGGCAAGAAAAGTAAAGAAAACTGAAGGAATAGGAGGGGAAAAAGAAAGAAAGGGGAAGAGAAATAAAGAAAGAAAGGACATGAAGAGGCAAAGGAAAGAAAGAAGGGAAAAAGGAGGCAAGAAAGAGTGTAAAGAAAAACTGAAGGAATAGGAGGAAAATGAAGAAAGGAAGAAGAGAAATAAAGAAATCCAAGGACATGAAGAGAAATGAAGGAAAGAAGGGAAAAGGGGAGAAAGAAAGAGTGTAAAGAAAACTGAAGGAATAGGAAAAAATGAAGAAAAAAGAGAAATAAAAGAAATCCAAGGACATGAAGAAATAAGGAAAGAAGGGAAAAGAAGGCAAGAAAAGTGTAAAAAGAAACTGAAGGAAAGGGAGGAAAATGAAGAAAGGGTAAGAGAAAAAAGAAATCCAAGGAAATGAAGAGGCAAAGGAAAGAAGGGAAAAGGAGGCAAGAAAAGAGGTAAAGAAAAACTGAAGGAAAAGAAAAATGAAGAAAGGGGAAGAGAAATAAAGAAAAAGGAATGAAGAGGCATAAGGAAAGAAGGAAAAAAGAAAGAAAGAGTGTAAAGAAAAAATGAAGGAAAAGGAAAGGGAAATGAAGAAAGAAAAAGAGAAGAAATAAAGAAGGCCAAGGAAAGAAAAGGTAAAGAAAAATGAAAGAAAGGGAAAAAATAAAGGAAAGAAAAGAGTGGAAAGAAAAAAGGAAGAAAGGAAAAAGAAAGGGTAAAGAAATAAAGAAACCAAGGACATGAAGAGGCATAAGGAAAGAAGGGAAAAAGGAGGCAAGAAAGAAGTGAAAAGAAAACTGAAGGAATAGGAGGGAAATGAAGAAAGGGTAAGAGAAATAAAGAAATCCAAGGACATGAAGAGGCATAAAAGGAAAGAAAGAAAAAGGAGGCAAGAAAAGTGTAAAGAAAACTGAAGGAATAGGAGGGAAAATGAAGAAAGGGGAAGAGAAATAAAAAAAAGGACATGAAGAGGCACAAGGAAAGTTAGAAGGGAAAAGGAGGAAAAGAAATGTAAAGAAAACTGAAGGAGTAGGAGGGAAAATGAAGAAAGGGTAAGAGAAATAAAGAAATCCAAGGACATGAAGAGGCATAAGGAAAGTTAGAAGGGAAAAAGGAGGCAAGAAAAAGTGTAAAGAAAACTGAAGGAGTAGGAGGGAAAATGAAGAAAGGGTAAGAGAAATAAAGAAATCCAAGGACATGAAGAGGCATAAGGAAAGTTAGAAGGGAAAAAAGGAGGAAAAGAAAAGAAAGAAAAAAACTGAAGGAATAGGAGGAAAAATGAAGAAAGGGGAAGAGAAATAAAGAAATCCAAGGACATGAAGAGGCATAAGGAAAGTTAGAAGGGAAAAAGGAGGCAAGAAAGAGTGTAAAGAAAACTGAAGGAATAGGAGGAAAAATGAAGAAAGGGGAAGAGAAATAAAGAAATCCAAGGACATGAAGAGGCATAAGGAAAGTTAGAAGGGAAAAGGGAGGCAAGAAAGAGTGTAAAGAAAACTGAAGGAATAGGAGGAAAAATGAAGAAAGGGTAAGAGAAATAAAGAAATCCAAGGACATGAAGAGGCATAAGGAAAAAAAGAAAAAGAAAGAAAAAAAGGAAAGGCAAGAAAAGTGTAAAGAAAAAAACTGAAGGAAAGGAGGGAAAAATGAAGAAAGGGTAAGAGAAATAAAGAAAGAAAAGGACATGAAAGGAAAAGGAAAGAAGAGGAAAAGGAAAAAGGGAAGAAAGAGTGTAAAGAAAACTGAAGGAATAGGAGGAAAAAAAAGAAAGGTAAGAGAAATAAAGAAACCAAGGACATGAAGAAGAAAGAAAGAAAGAAAAAGGAAAAGGAGGCAAGAAAGAGGTAAAGAAAACTGAAGGAATAGGAGGGAAAATGAAAGAAAGGGTAAGAGAAAAAAAAATCAAGGACATGAAGAGGCATAAGGAAAGTTAGAAGGGAAAAAGGAGGCAAGAAAAATGTAAAAGAAAACTGAAGGAATAGGAGGGAAAATGAAGAAAAGGGAAGAGAAATAAAGAAATTCAAGGACATGAAGAGGCATAAGGAAAAGAAGGGAAAAGGGGAGGCAAGAAAGAAAAGAAAACTGAAGGAATAGGGAGGAAAATGAAGAAAGGGTAAGAGAAATAAAGAAATCCAAGGACATGAAGAGGCATAAGGAAAGAAAGGTAAAAAAAGGAGGCAAGAAAAGAAGAAAGAAAACTGAAGGAAAGGAGGAAAAATGAAGAAAGGGAAAGAAATAAAGAAAATCCAAGGAAATGAAGAGAAGAAATAAGGAAAGAAGGGAAAAAGAGAAAGAAAGGAAAAAGAAAAAGAGTGTAAAAGAAACTGAAGGAATAGGAGGAAAATGAAGAAAGGAAAGAAGAGAAAGAAATCCAAGGAATGAAAGGCATAAAGAAAGAAAAGAAAAGAAGAATAGGAGGGAAAATGAAGAAAGGGAAGAGAAATAAAAGAAAAAGGACATGAAGAGGCAAAGAAAAGAAAGGGAAAAAGGAGGCAAGAAAAAGTGTAAAAAAACTGAAAAGAGTAGGAGGAAAATGAAGAAAAGAAGAGAAATAAAGAAAATGAAAAGGACATGAAGAGGCATAAGGAAAGAAAAAAAAAGGAGGCAAGAAAAGTAAAAAAAAACTGAAGGAATAGGAGGAAAATGAAGAAAGAAAGGAAAGAAATAAAAAAATCCAAGGACATGAAGAGGCAAAGGAAAGAAGGGAAAAAGGAAGAAAAAAGAAAAAAGAAGGAATAGAAAAGAAAGAAAAGGACATGAAAGGCAAGGACATGAAGAGGCATAAGAAAAAGAAAATGAAAAGGAGGCAAGAATAAAAAGAAACTGAAGGAATAGGAGGAAAATGAAGGAAAGAAATAAAGAAACCAAAGGACATGAAAGAGGATAAGGAAAGAAAGAAAGGAAAAGGAGGCAAAAAAGAAGTAAAGAAAACTGAAGGAATAGGAGGAAAATGAAGAAAGGGTAAGAGAAATAAAGGAAATCCAAGGACATGAAGAGGAAAGAAAGAAGGGAAAAGGAGGCAAGAAAGAGTAAAGAAAACTGAAAAAAGGAAAGAAAAGGAGGAAAATGAAGAAAAAGGAATGAAAGAAATAAAGAAAAAGAAGGCAAGAATGAAGAAGATAAGGAAAGAGGACGAAAAAAGGGGAGGAAAAAAAGAAAGAGAAAGAAAACTGAAGGAATAGGAGGAAAAATGAAGAAAGAAAAAAGAAATAAAGAAATCCAAGGACATGAAAGGCATAAGAAAGAAAGGAAAAAAGAGGCAAGAAAAGGAAAAAGAAAGAAAAGAAAGGGAGGGAAAATGAAGAAAGGAAAAGAAATAAAGAAAAGAAGGACATGAAGAATAAGGAAAGAAGGGAAAAAAGGAGGAAAGAGAAGAAAAACTGAAATGAAGAAGGGAAAATGAAGAAAGGGGTAAGAGAAATAAAAAAAGAATCCAAGGACATGAAGAGGCAAAGGAAAGAAGGAAAAGGGAGGCAAGAAAGAGTGTAAAAGAAAACTGAAGGAATAGGAGGGAAAATGAAGAAAGGGTAAAGAAATAAAGAAACAAGGACATGAAGAGGCATAAGGAAATGAAGAAAAAAAAAGAAGGCAAGAAAAAGGTAAAGAAAACTGAAGGAGTAGGAGGGAAAATGAAGAAAGGGTAAGAGAAATAAAGAAATCCAAGGACATGAAGAGGAAAAGGAAGGTTAGAAAATGAAAGAAAAGAAAAGAAAAGAAAGAAAGGAACAGGAGGGAAAATGAAGAAACAAGAGAAATAAAGAAAAAGGGAAGAATAAGGAAAAAGGAAGAAAGAAAGAGTGTAAAAGAAAACTGAAAAGGGGAGGAAAATGAAGAAAGGGGAAGAGAAATAAAGAAATCCAAGGACATGAAGAGGAAAAGAAAGTTAAAAAGAAAAGTGTAAAGAAAAGGAAAAAAGGAAAAGAAGAAAGGGAAAGAAAAAAAAAGGACATGAAGATAGAAGGAAAAAAGGAAAAGGGAAGAAAGAGGAAAGAAAAATGAAAGAAAAATGAAGAAAGGAAAGGAAATGAAGAAAGAAAGAAAGAAGAAAGGAAAAAGAAGGGAAAAAGGAGGCAAGAAAGAGTGTAAAGAAAACTGAAGGAATAGGAGGGAAAATGAAGAAAGGGGAAGAGAAATAAAGAAATCCAAGGACATGAAGAGGCATAAGGAAAGTTAGAAGGGAAAAAGGAGGCAAGAAAGAGTGTAAAGAAAACTGAAGGAATAGGAGGGAAAATGAAGAAAGGGTAAGAGAAATAAAGAAATCCAAGGAATGAAAGGATAAGGAATGAAGAAGGAAAAAAGGAGGCAAGAAAAGTGTAAAGAAAAATGAAGGAAAAGGAAAATGAAGAAAGGGTAAGAGAAATAAAGAAAGGAATGAAGAGGAAGGGGAAAGAAAAGAAATAAAGAGTGTAAAGAAAAAGAAAATGAAGAGGAAGGAAAAGAAGGGAAAAAGGAAGAAAGGGAAAGCAAAAAGTAAAGAAAATGAAGGAATAGGAGGGAAAATGAAGAAAGGGGAAGAGAAATAAAGAAACCAAGGACATGAAGAGGCATAAGGAAAAGAAGGGAAAGAGGGAGGCAAAAGAGTGTAAAGAAAACTGAAGGAATAGGAGGAAATGAAGAAAGGGTAAGAGAAATAAAGAAATCCAAGGACATGAAGAGGCATAAGGAGAGTTAGAAGGGAAAAGGGGGGCAAGAAAGAGTGTAGAGAAAACTGAAGGAATAGGAGGGAAAATGAAGAAAGGGTAAGAGAAATAAAATCAAGGAATGAAAGGACATGAAAAAGAGGCAAGAAAAGGAAAGAAAAGAAGGAAAAAGGAGAAAAGAAAAAAAGTGTAAAGAAAAAACTGAAAGGAATAGGAAGGGAAAAAATGAAAAAAAGGGAAGAGAAATGAAGAAAAAAGAAATCCAAGGACATGAAGAGGCATAAGGAAAAGAAGGGAAAAAGGCAAGAAAGAGTGTAAAAAAACTGAAGGAATAGGAAAAATGAAAAGGGTAAGAGAAATAAAGAAACCAAGGACATGAAGAGGCATAAGGAAAGAAAGGAAAAGGAGGAAAGAAAAGAAAACTGAAGGAATAGGAGGAAAAATGAAGAAAGGGTAAGAGAAATAAAGAAATCCAAGGACATGAAGAGGCATAAGGAAAGTTAGAAGGGAAAAGGGAGGCAAGAAAGAGTGTAAAGAAAACTGAAGGAATAGGAGGGAAAATGAAGAAAGGGTAAGAGAAATAAAGAAATCCAAGGACATGAAGAGGCATAAGGAAAGTTAGAAGGGAAAAGGAGGCAAGAAAGAGTGTAAAGAAAACTGAAGGAATAGGAGGAAAAATGAAGAAAGGGTAAGAGAAATAAAAGAAACATCAAGGACATGAAGAGGCATAAGGAAAGTTAGAAGAAAAAAGGAAAAAAGAAAGAAAGAAAAGAAAAACTGAAGGAAATAGGGGATGAAAAGAAAGAGAAAAGGAAACATGGAAGAAGAAAGGAAAGAAGGAAAAAGGACATGAAGAGGTAAAAAGAAAAGGAAGGTTAGAAGGGAAAATGAAGAAAGGGTAAAGAAATAAAAAATCAAAAAGAAGAAAGAAAGGAAAAGGAGGTAAAAAAATGAAGAAAGGAAAAATGAAGAAAGGGAAAGAAAAAAGAAATCCAAGGACATGAAGAGGCATAAGGAAAGAAGGGAAAAGGAGGCAAGAAAAGTGTAAAAGAAAACTGAAGGAATAGGAGGAAAATGAAGAAAGGGTAAGAGAATAAAAGAAATCCAAGGACATGAAGAGGCATAAGAAAGAAGGGAAAAAGGAGGCAAGAAAGAGTGTAAAGAAAACTGAAGGAGTAGGAGGGAAAATGAAGAAAGGGTAAGAGAAATAAAGAAATCCAAGGACATGAAGAGGCATAAGGAAAGTTAGAAGGGAAAAAGGAGGCAAGAAAGAGTGTAAAGAAAACTGAAGGAATAGGAGGAAAAATGAAGAAAGGGTAAGAGAAATAAAGAAATCCAAGGACATGAAGAGGCATAAGGAAAGTTAGAAGGGAAAAAGGAGGCAAGAAAGAGTGTAAAGAAAACTGAAGGAGTAGGAGGGAAAATGAAGAAAGGGTAAGAGAAATAAAGAAATCCAAGGACATGAAGAGGCATAAGGAAAGAAGGGGAAAAAGGCAAGAAAAGTGTAAAAAGAAAACTGAAGGAATAGGAGGAAAAATGAAGAAAGGGTAAGAGAAATAAAGAAATCCAAGGACATGAAGAAGAGGAAAGAAGGGAAAAGGAAGGGAAGAAAAGAAAGAAAGAGAGGGAAAAAAGAAAAAGAGAAAGGAAAATAGGAGGCATAAAAAAAGGCAAGAAGAAAGGGAAGAAAAGAAAAGAAAGAAAAGGAAATGAAGAGGAAATGAAAGAAAGAAGGGAAAAAAGGAGGCAAGAAAGAGTGTAAAAGAAAACTGAAGGAATAGGAGGGAAAATGAAGAAAGGGTAAGAGAAATAAAGAAAAAGGACATGAAAGGCATAAGGAGAAGTTAGAAAAGAAAGGCAAGAAAGAGTGTAAAAAAACTGAAGGAATAGGAGGAAAATGAAGAAAGGGTAAAGAAATAAAAAATCCAAGGACATGAAGAAGGAAAGTTAGAAGGGAAAAAGGGAGGCAAGAAAGAGTGTAAAGAAAAAAATGAAGGAAATGAAGAAAGAAAGAGAAAGAAGGACATGAAGAGGCATAAGGAGAGTTAGAAGGGAAAAGGGAAAGAAAAGTGTAAAAAAAAAACTGAAAGGAGAAAATGAAGAAAGGGAAGAAATAAAGAAATCCAAGGACATGAAGAGGCATAAGGAAAGTTAGAAGGGAAAAAGGAAAGAAAAGTGTAAAGAAAACTGAAGGAAAGGAAAAATGAAGAAAGGGGAAAATAAAGAAAAAAAGAAAGAAAGGGAAAGAAAAGAAAAAAGGACAAAGAAAGAAAAGGAATGGAAAAGGAATGAAGAGGAAAAGGGAAGTTAGAAGGAAAAGGAAAGAAAGTGTAAAAGAAAACTGAAGGAAAGGGAGGAAAAATGAAGAAAGGGAAGAGAAATAAAGAAATCCAAGGACATGAAGAGGCATAAGGAAAAGAAGGGAAAAGGAGGCAAGAAAGAGTGTAAAGAAAATGAAGGAATAGGAGGAAAATGAAGAAAGGGTAAGAGAAATAAAGAAAACCAAGGACATGAAGAGGCAAAGGAAAGAAGGGAAAAAGGAGGCAAGAAAAGTAAAGAAAACTGAAGGAATAGGAGGAAAATGAAGAAAAAGAGAAAAAAAATCCAAGGACATGAAGAGGCATAAGGAAAGTTAGAAGGGAAAAGGAAAGAAAGAGTAAAGAAAACTGAAGGAATAGGAGGAAAATGAAGAAAGAAATAAAAAATGAAAGAAAGGAAAGAAGGGAAAAGAGAAGAAAGAAAGAAAGAAAAGGGAAAAAGGAAGAAATAAAGAAAAGAAAGAAAAGAAAAAAGGAAGGAGAAAGGAAAAAGAAAGAAAGGGTAAGAGAAAAAAAAAGAAAGGAGATAGGAGAAAATGAAGGAGAAGGGAGGAAAGAAAGAAGGAAAAAATGAAAGAAAGAGGCATAAGGAAAGAAGAAGGAAAAAGCAAAAACTAAAGAAAATTGAAGGAATAGGAGGAAAATGAAGAAAGGGGAAGAGAAAGAAAGAAATCCAAGGACATGAAGAGGCATAAGGAAAGTTAGAAGGGGAAAAGGAGGCAAGAAAAAGTAAAGAAAATGAAGGAATAGGGAGGAAAATGAAGAAAGAAAGAAATAAAGAAATCCAAGGACATGAAGAAAGAAAGAAAAGAAGGAAATAGAAGGGAAAAGGAAAGAAAGAGAAAAAAAGAAACAAGGACAGGAAAGAAAAAGAAAGAAGGAAAAAGGGAGAAAATGAAGAAAGGGTAAGAAAGAAATAAAGAAGGACATGAAGAAAGGAAAGAAAGGGAAAAGGAAAGAAAGAGTGTAAAGAAAAACTGAAGGAATAGGAGAAAAAATGAAGAAAGGGTAAGAGAAATAAAGAAAGAAAGGACATGAAGAAGGAAATGAAAAAGAAAGAAAAGGAGGCAAGAAAGAGTGTAAAGAAAATGAAGGAAAGGAGGAAAAATGAAGAAAGGGGAAGAGAAATAAAAGAAAGAAGGACATGAAGAGGCAAAAGGAAGTTAGAAGGAAAAAAGGAGGCAAGAAAGAGTGAAGAAAGATGAAGGAATAGGAGGAAAAATGAAGAAGAGAAATAAAAGAAAAAGGACATGAAGAAAAGGAAAGTTAGAAGGGAAAAGGAGGCAAGAAAGAGTGTAAAGAAAACTGAAGGAGTAGGAGGGAAAATGAAGAAAGGGTAAGAGAAATAAAGAAAGAAGGACAAAAGAGGCATAAAAAGGAAAGTTAGAAGGAAAAGGAAAAAAGAAAGAAAAAAAGAAAAAATGGAAGGAAAATGAAGAAAATGAAGAAAGGGAAAGAAATAAAGAAACGAAGGAAATGAAAGCATAAGGAAAGAAAGAAAGGGAAAAAGGAGGAAAGAAAGAGGAAAAGAAAATTGAAGGAAAGGAAGGGAAAATGAAAGAAAGGGTAAGAGAAAGAAAGAATCCAAGGACATGAAGAGGCATAAGGAAAAATGAAAAGGAGGCAAGAAAAGTGAAAAAAAGAAAATGAAGAAAGAAAGAAAGGGAAGAGAAATAAAGAAATCCAAAAGAAGAGAAAATAGGAAAAGAAAAGAAAAATGAAGAAAGAAAAAGGAGGTAAAGAAATGAAGAAAAAAAGAAAATGAAGGAAATGAAGGAATGAAAGAAAGAGAAATAAAGAAAGAAAAATGAAAATAAAAAGAAAAAAAAGAAAACTGAAAAGGAAAAATGAAGAAAAAAGAAAGAAAAAAAGGACAAGAAAGAAAGAAAAGAAGGGAAAAAGGCAAAAAATGTAAAGAAAACTGAAGGAAAGGAGGAAAATGAAGAAATGAAGAAATAAAGAAAAAGGACATGAAAGGCAAAGAAAGTTAAAGAAAAAAAGAAAAAAAATGGAAAGAAATGAAGGAAAGGAAAAATGAAGAAAGAAAGAAAGAAAGAAAGAAAGAAATGAAGAGGCGAAGAAAGGGAAAAAATGAATAAAGAAAAAAGAAAGAAAAAAGAAAGGAAAAAGAAATAAAAGAAAAAGGAATGAAAGAAAAGAAGGGAAAAAGAAGAAAAAAAATGAAAAATGAAGAAAAGGAAAAAGAAAGGGAAAGAAAATGAAGAAAGAAAGGAAAAGAAAGAAGAAATGGAGCGAGAAAAGTAAAAATGAAGAAAGAGGAAAATGAAGAAAGAAAAGAAATAAACGAAAGGAATGAAGAGGAAATGAAGAAAGTAAAGAAAAAAGAAAAGAAATGAAGAAAGGGTAAGAGAAATAAAAAATCCAAGGAAAAGAAGAAAGAAAGAAAAGAAGGAAAGAAAAGTAAAAATGAAGGAAGAAAGAAAAATGAAGAAAGAAAGAAATAAAGAAAGAAACGAAGGAAGCAAAGGAAAAAGAAATGGAAAAGAAAATGTAAAGAAATGAAGAAAAGGGAAAAGAAGAAAGAAAAGAAATAAAAAACAAGGAAATGAAGAAAGGAAAGAAGGGAAAAAAGGAAGGAAATGAAGAAAGAAAGAAACGAAGGAATAGAAGGAAAAAAGAAAGAAAAAAAAGAAAAATGGAGAAATGAAGGGAGCGAAATGAAGGAATGAAAGAAAGAAAAAAAAAAAATGAAGAAAAGGAAGGAAACAGAAGGAAGAAAAAAGGAAAGAAACGAAGCGAAATGAAGAAAGAAAAGAAAGAAAAGAAAGAAAGAAAGAAAGAAAAATGGAGCGAAATGAAGAAAGAAAGAAAGAAAGAAATGGAGCGAAATGAAGCGAAATGAAGAAAGAAAGAAAGAAAGAAACGAAGCGAAATGAAGAAAGAAAGAAACGAAGCGAAATGAAGAAAGAAAGAAAAAGAAAAGAAAGAAAGAAATGGAGCGAAATGAAGAAAGAAAGAAAGAAAGAAAAGAAAGAAAATGGAGCGAAATGAAGCGAAATGAAGAAAGAAAGAAAGAAATGATGTGAAATGAAGCGAAATGAAATGAAATCAAGAAATGAAGGAACATAAAGAAAAAAAAAAGAAAGAAAAATAAGTAAAGCTAGAAGAAACTAATAAAACATCTTACCATTTTATTTCCGGCGTTAGAGTGGAATTTGATATGATACTACCATTTAAATACTTGAAAAAGAAATAAAAAATATTTATATTTGGCGTATGCCGCGTAACATTACGTTCGGGAAATAAAAAAATATAAAAGATAAAAAAAAGGAAGAAAATGAAAGAGAAAATAAAACTAAAGGAAAGTAAAAAGAATGGAAAGAAAGAAATAAGTAAGAGAAAAGGGGACATAAATAATGTATTAAGGGTTCAGTTTTAAATTTCCTGAGACGGGGGAGAGTACCCGGATGGACAAATTGAAGGGCGGAACGATCGAAACGCTGTGGTAACAACAATAAAAATGAGTACAAATGTAAATAATGTAATTAATGATTACATCCACCAAATTCTCTGTTTGTCTCCGAGCAGACGCTGACCTTTCACCTATTGTGATTGATGGGCGTCCTGTCAAAGAGACTTCTTGCCTTGAACGACTATTAGGGCTCTAGATTAACCCAGACCTCAAGATGGAACCCAGTAAATCGCATTTATTGCGAAAGGTGCTGGAAAAATGGTCACTTCATCGTACCACCCCAGTAAATATCTGACTCTCTCCCCTGCTATACACGACCTTTACAAAAGTCAGATCAAACCAAAAAATGGAGTATTGCTGCTGCTATATTTGAACTGGAGCTGCCTACACATTTGACTGACTTGATAGAGTTCAAAAGCGTCTACGCGGACTTATGGGTGATAAATTATCCCCCCTCCCAATAAATCGCTCCACTTGAACAGTTTTTTTCCAAGCGCTTCTGCTTTGTGGAACAAGCAATAGGATGGATGCTTTCACGATCACTATAATCTTGACCACTTCAAGTCTAGGATTAAGCGTTATCTTTCGTAATAACCCTCATGACCAGCACTTGTCTTTCTTACGTTCATACAACACCATACAGTAACCCTATATCTTGAGTTACTCTTGAGCCTTGTATGAGGTGAACATTATTATATAAAAAAATCTTACTTGAGAAGGGTATAAATCTATTCCCCCTGTTACAAATTATCGACATGTCACAGTAGTTGATAGAGAAATGGACAGAGAAATAAGCTTCAAGAAATGGCTCGCAACTTAGTAAGAAGCTTTGGTTTGTTTTACGGCATAGCAACACCTCAATGGGTTATTTAATGACGACAAAATATTTATTTCTGGTAATATTTAAAAAAAAAATGTATTGCTGGTAATATTTTTTTTTCTTCAAAAACGCATTGCTGGTAATAATTTTTCCTCAAAAAATTTATTGCTTGTATTGAAACCTATTTTTACACTTAAATATGTTTTGACTCCAGTTTGGAGGTAAACTATTTGCTTATAGTTGGAACCCTAACAGGTTGTACCACCTCGGGTTTGGGTGAACCTGGGAACACCAGCAATTAAGATGTGGTTCCACGCTCCTCAAAACCTCCCTATGAAAGACCTTGCTGTTGGACGTCATACTGTTGTAGAGTAGTTTTCACAGTGGAGGCTTGTATTTCACTAAGTCGGTCCTAAATTAGGTTCGACGTACAAAACGTTAGGAACTTGAAATAACAGTTAATGACGCAGCAATCTAGTTGTGGTGGTTTGATACTTTAATGTCCGACATCGACTGACTCACTCAACTCACTGAGCCCCCTGGCGACTGCTACTACTACTACTTATTATCTGTGGAAGAGTCTATTTAAAATAGAATAGGTATGATCTAGTATAACACATACCCAGGATGCTAGTAAGTAGGGAGTAAGAAAAAAATGCTTTTACACCCATTGTCAGCCTTAACAGGAGCTGATCTTTATATTAAGCTTGTCAAGTAAATATTGAGGGTTATAAATTCTTAGTGTCTGTCTATATTTCAGAGATGAGGTATTATGTACACTATTTACATTATTCGGGCTGTTGTCCTCATCTTTGTCGCCATGTTTATCACAACATTTCGGCTTTTCAGTATCTGTTTATATTTCTGAGATGAGGTATTATGTACACTATTTACATTATTCGGACTATTGTCCTCATCTTTGTTGCCATATTTATCTCAACGTTTCGGCCGTTGTACGCTCCAGCCTTCTTCAGGTGGTTGGAATGTCGAACTGAACCCTTTATTTCGCTCACTGGGGTAGACTGTTCTAGTTCCCAACTATCGCATATTTTGTGGGGAAAAATGTTCGCCTATCGCCCGGTTCACCCTCCTCCCTGTTCTTTTGAAGAGCAGTAGAGGTTTATCCTTTGTTTCCTGTTTGGGATTGGGTTTCCGGTTTTTATTCCTTTTCACTCTCAGTAGTTCCTTGCTTCTTAGTGGCATTACTGCCTTGCTTGGGATGAAATGATTAAGAATATATTTGGTTGTAGGAGAAATCGTTTGAGACGATCGGACGGAAGATCAGGAATCAGCCAAAAGGGATTCAGACGAACCAAATGATATTATCTGAAAAGAAATTCCGGAATTAGAATAAAAACAAAAAGATATTCTCCAAAGTTATATCTTTGTTGAAAAAAAAAGCCTAGCATCACTTGGGAATTGAAGCAGTTGCTAGCCGTGTGTCAAGAGGTCATTCCGTCTCTTAATTCTATTTTGACAACCTCGCCTCGGGTGTCGAAACGTAAAGAGAATCCAAAATATCTTCCTCACCTGTTCGAGTTACCGCCTTGACCAAGTAGACCACCATGAAGAAAAAGCCAATAATCTTTGTACAAAACAGAATAAAGGCCAAGTAACAGCAAGCAATAATGTTTCTCTTTCTTTTACTAACCATTCATCCCCAAAACGGGTTGAACACATTGAGGTAAATGAACGGATCAAATTCGATATATTTGAGCTTCACTGCCCAAGTCCGCTTCACAACTGGAAAAAATTACCTCTAAAACGGGTTGAACACACTGAATCAAATGAACGGATCAAATTCGATTTATTTGAACTTCACTATCCAGGTCTACTTTACAAGTGGAAAATTTGATCCCTAAAACAGTTTGAACACATTGAGTCAAATGAACGGATCAAATTCGATTTATTTGAACTTCACTATCCAGGTCTACTTTACAAGTGGAAAATTTGATCCCTAAAACAGTTTGAACACATTGAGTCAAATGAACGGATCAAATTCGATTTATTTGAACTTCACTATCCAGGTCTACTTTACAAGTGGAAAATTTGATCCCTAAAACAGTTTGAACACATTGAGTCAAATGAACGGATCAAATTCGATTTATTTGAACTTCACTATCCAGGTCTACTTTACAAGTGGAAAATTTGATCCCTAAAACAGTTTGAACACATTGAGTCAAATGAACAGATCAAATTCGATTTATTTGAGCTTCACTACCCAAGTACCCTTTACAACAGGAAAATTTGATCCCTAAAACGGGTTTAACACACTGAGTCAAATGAACGGATCAAATTCGATATATTTGAGCTTCACTACCCAAGTCCGTTTCACAACTGGAAAAAAAGTATCATTCCGTGAAACCCCAATAAGACAATTGCTAGCGGGTTGAGGTTGATGACTCGGAGAGGTTCGTAGATACACATGGTGATTTTGATATAAAAATGCTCTGGATATTCCATCACTCAGCAGATAAGACATGTAAAGACACAATGTGAGAAGGGGTGGGCAGTCAATAGTCGAAAATATAGACAGTGCTCGAGTTTATACACAAACGAAGAGCAAGAAGAAAATAGTAAAGATAATTATTTAGATGCAAAAGAATTTTGTCAATAGAATTATATTCTGTCATTTAAAAGGTTATCATTTATGATATAATGAAATCAAAACGCAGGTTCGCAGGAAGAAACGGAAGAAAAATTTACATTGTTCCTGTTTTCATTGGCATATTCATGACGTTTCGACCGTTGTACGCTTCGGTCTTTGTCAGATGATATACGTTGGAATTTCGAACCGAACCCCTTATTTAGTACACCGGGGTAGATTGTTCTAATTACACGTACAATTGCTTCGTCCACCGCGAGGAAAGTTGGCTCTCTGTGCCGCGCCAGGAAATTTTTCTCCCCGGAATCGATACTTCAAATATACAAATCAACCATTCGCCCATTCGCTATGGAGTCCATTGCATTGCATGGAGTATTGCTGCCATATATGGTCTGGGGCACCTTCTGTTTACCTCGGAGTTCTTGACAAGATCCAGAGGCTGATATGTAATATAATTGGCCCTGATCTGGCATCTCGTCTACAGTCACTCTCTCACAGACGCGCCGTCGCCTCTCTCTGTCTTTTCTAGAAATACTTTCATGGTAATTGCTCCGATGAGCTGCTTTCACTGGTTCCCAGACTCCATGAATTCAAGCGCCCTACGAGGCTGGCATCCCGCTGTCACCCTTTCACTGTAGAAACTTTTAAATGTAGCCGTCTCTTCTACTCCAATAGCTTCATACCTCACACCTCTCGCTGTGGAACACCCCTTCCCATTACTGTTTCCCTGAGAGCTATAATCTCCAACTATTCAAATGTAATGTCAATCGACATCTCCAGTTACCTTGATCTACCCACTATCCTTCTCCTCATCCCTTCTTCTATCACTCCTATCTGCTCTCGCTCCAAATCTTCTGCAACCCCCTGCATCCTAGTGGCTTCCCGCCTTGCTTGGGGCGTAATGCTTAAAAAAATCTCTTTGTGTGTGTGGGGGGTATCCCAGTTTCAGTTATTTTATTTTAGTAACTCTACTGTCCACGTTTTTGTTACTTCGGCTGTGACCGGGTATTGAACTCACGACTCTTTGAGCCAAGTTACTTTTTGGATCACTCAACCTACGAAGAAAATGTAGATTAGAAATATACTCCTTTCGGATGATGAAAGATGGTCGCCATTGAAGTAGGGTCCCACTTGCGTACAAACCTTAGGTTTTAACTAACCTCACGCCTTTAAGCGAAATGGCGTGATGCAGCCTGGAGAGACGGACCCATGGAATTAGACTCTGATATATTTTTTCCTTCAGATCCCAAAAGAGCAAGAAACGAAGACAAAAACGAATTGTGTACATTCACTTTTTTGTTTATTTGCTTGGTTAATTTAACGTCACATCAACACTTGTTGCTTTATTTAGTATCCAATTTAAGTGTGAAATTTAATTAGGTAGGTAGACATATTCGATTTACACTGGGAAAAATAGGATCGACATAGGTCCGTTATAGACTAATGTCAAAAATGTAGATATAAATCCGGTTTAAAGTAATGTAAAAAATCGACTTAGGCCCGGTTTGCGGTAATATCATAAAAAGTAGATATAGATCCTAATTATACTAATGACAAAAAGGTAGACATAGTTATTGATTGCACTATTATAAATAAGTTAGACATAGGCACGATTTACTCTTGCCAAAAATGTTCGACACCTTTTTGATACATACGTTTGGTTTGTATTAATCTAAAAAATCGATATAGGTCCGGTTTACAGTCATGTCAAAAAGGTTGACATATATCTGGTTTACACACGAGTGAAAAAGTTAGACATAGGGCCTGTTTACACTAATGTCAAAAAAAATTAGACATATGTCCGGTTTAAACGAGTCAAGAATGTAGACATAGGTCTGGTTTACACTAGGCTCATAAAGGTAAATATGGGTTCAGTTTACACTCGGGTCAAAATTTTAGATATAAGTTTGCTTTACAGTAAGTCTACAAGTATCATGTCTTCTTTTAGGTGGACAGTTCTTAGCCATCTTTAATGGATGCAGGCGGTAGATTCTAAAATCTACCAGAAACAAACTTTTTGTGTTGTCTGTGATTAATTAAAGCTTTATTTCGAAAAAAAAAAACAATCTTTCTTCATTTGTAATTCTTTATAAATATATTAGATAGTAGGAAGGATTGCGAAGAAACTTTGGAATCTTGTGAGCCGGTAACAAATAGTGAGTGGAGTGTCTATGGTAGATCAATTTACGCTTTCTATAGTCTGATGTCTACAGTCTGATGTTTGGCGTTATGCTATTTGTGTAGCATGGACAATGAATACTCTTCACTTTTGTCGCATGCCGCGAAGGTTATGAAAAAAAAAACAAACAAACAAAAAAACATTGATAGTGAG